AAAATCAACAAGCGAAGTAAACAACAATATATCAAAAATAAACAAGAAGTATCACACCAACTAGAATAGTTTTGTTCGTCTTGTCCATCTATTGTGTCTCAAATTAGATCACAATAATGATAAAATAATAGTTGTATTTCTTTGATATTTCCCAGTATTACGAAATACTCAATATATATATATATAATCAATTTCATATTCGCTTTAAAAGAATGATCATTGTAAATTAAATGATAGCTCATCAATATCATCTTGACAATATGTAATACTATCACTCGATAGTTGAAATCTTACATATTAAGGACAGTCAATCAACACATACTGATAAAGATAGCGTTTGTTGATGGATAAATAGAAACGTTCATTTTATCATCGCTCAACAATCAATCTATATATCCATTGTTGATACATCTCAAGAAAAGATAATATTCAATGATTTCTAACATCGATAGGATAATTGTTTATCATCTATGTTTCAGTCACGTAGTAGATATTCGATAATGACATTAGAGATAATGTATTCAAATATTGTTAGAGAATAGTTTCAAGAAATTTAAAGCTTTTAATTTTATACAAATTATAATAACTTTATAAGAATACGTATTTTTATGTTTATTAAGATTTTTTGTTTTTTCTTCATTTTAACTTATTTTAGATGAATAATCAGTATTATAGTACAAAAGAAGTGTAACATTGACAAGAAAAAAATCACAAAAAAAAAATTCATTTTTTTTTCTATTATATAAACATTCATCAAAATCAAATATTGACTGTGTCGAACATGAAGTTAAACTGCAAAAAAACCAAAATTAGTCCATATTTCTTGTTAATCATTTTTATCCATACAATCAAACGTACTATCGAAGAGAAATCTCTGTAGTATTCACATACCATTATAGTACTAGAATTTATTCGAAGCACAGTTATAAAATTCGAACAAGTTACAATCAGTTTCATTATTTCCATTACATACCTAACATCATTCTTTAAACAGTAAAGATCAACATTACATTGAATGTTATCGACAAAACAACTGATTGGTTCCTTATTTCGTTCGTATAGACGAGATATAATTACTTCAACAACATTCCTTTGATTGATAATCGACTCTTTCGTACGTTCTTATAAGCAATCAACATTGAATTTATCTTATGAATGATTACATATAGTCTCGTCCTCTACAATAGAATTATCATTGAAGTCATCCCAAAAAGCATGTCAGTAGTAATATTATTTTGTTTCAAATCTATCATTAAACATACTGCTCCATCATAGTCAAACTCTCTAACAATCATATTACCATTCGATCATCGACAAAAGAAACGTGTATTAGAAAATAAATAATCATAATCGCCATGTCTCGTTTCTGTCAAATATAATAGCCATTTATTAACACTAACAGTATATAAAGTAGCAACGGAGCTAGAATATTAGTGTCTTTCTTATTTTGGAAGAGCCATGACAGGTGGCACCCTCATTATGTGTGCTGTATTATGCAGGATACAAATTACTAGTAGATTGGCTAACGACGAAACAAAAACATTACGTCCTCTCTTGTTCTGAAAAGGATAGTGGAGAGTGCTGTTATTCTATTATCATCATGTATTCTTCATAACACAACGCATGCAATGAGAACGTCATCTGTTTTACTGTGCCCCCAAAACAAGAAAGACACAAGTCTTCTATCTCCCCCGCTATATAAAGGCAATACTATCCACAAAAAACATTATGTTATTACTGTACAATAAAGAAAATAATAAGAACAAATTTTATTTGTTCACCTAATCTTTTGTATATCCTATTCGTATATCTTAATTCTGCGAATAATAATTATATTACAAATATGCTAAGCGTCTTCTACTCATTAGATGAGGATTATCGATTTAGAAAATAAGTTTATAGTGTCAACATGATCTTTTTTTTTTGTTACTAATAGAAAGAAAGAATATACTAGTTAGTGTTCATGATTGTATTCGTTTGATTTAGTACGACATGTATTACATGATTTTGTGTTTATATCTAAATGGAACGTGACAATGTTATCTTACGACATTTTAGATTTATGTCAAATATTCACTAGAATCTATTGTATAAAATTAAAGAAATATGAGATTAAATGACGGCAACAAAATAATTATAAGAATACAGAAATAGATTTATCTGTATATATCATATTTTCTAAACTAAAATGATATTTGATTCAAATTTTTAATCGTCTATTGAAAAAGAATTTAGAGAAATGCATTTTCTATAGAGAAGTGTCAAATTTTTTTCATGCATACAAAATTGTGTCTTAAACATGATTCACCTTTGTATGACATCTTATAGTGAATTAACAATAATTAATATGGCTTTTTACTGTTAATTAATTTACAAGTTGAAAATTTTATTTTCATTGAAAATATAATTCACATCGTTAAAAAACTCATAAAAGCAAATTAATATTCGTCCATATGACACATTTCATCAGAGAGATTTCGAGGAGGATGGCAAAGCGACGGTCGCCATCTGTTGGAGAAATATTTTTTTTTACTTTTCGTCAGCAGAGAAGAAAAAACAGAGGTTATAATGGGTAGTAATTGAAAAGTAATGTGATAAAATGTTCGTTCACTTTTCAACCTCTTAAAGAGCACCTGCAGCAGAAATTCGAAAACATTGAGTTAAAATCAAAATTTTGTATTATTTCAAAAAATAAATGCAAATTTTATGCAGAACTTCTCTTTTTAGAAACTGTGAACAGATCTTTTAGAAGTCCATTAATTAAATTTGTACGAACTTCAATGCTCCAAAATTTAGCCAAAGTAGAAGTAGAAATTATTTCAAATACAGCAAATGAAAGAGTACACACTTATCGATAAAAATGATTTACTAAATGATTAATTTGCTGCGAGTTATTTGTCAACAACAGTGAATATTTCGATAAGGGACACTGTATCAATTTAAGAGGTTTTTCTCAATTTCTATGGAAAATAGACTTCTGATGTGAGCTCAATCATTCTTAAATGATACTTCTGAAATTTTATTCTATGTAACAAAATCGGTACTACATCGTATGTCATAAAGGAGAATATAATGCAAAAACCGTCAATTTTCTCCGTCCACACTTATTTTTTGCACCTTGAAAAGATCGGCTCATAACTTCTAAACTAGAAGTCCTAGAGAAGTTTCATTTAAGAGACTCAAAAATGAATGAACATTTTTTTAAAATTACTTTTCTATCACTTCTTCCTACCTCAAATTGACTTCGAAAACCGTTATTTGACCATGATTACGGTTTCCTTCTAATAAACCATTACTCTCTCTATGATTTCTTAAATCCATTACTGTATCGAAGAAACTTGTTCAAATGTGTTGAACGAACTAGATTTCGCAGGCTGCAATAATAGCGAAGCTAATTGAAAGATAAAATACTATTATTTTTGCATAGGCAGTGAAGTCATAAGACTTGGTTAGACTGAAACCTATTCCAAAATTCAGACATCATTGGCTAGGATAGCTTCAAACATTTGTATTTCGTTCTGTTAGACTGATAGATTTATGCAGTGTATTGAAATTCTTTTACCCTTGAAACGGCAAATAGCAAAATTTTCACAGTGAAGCAGACTTAGAAAATGTTCTTCAAGAAACATAAAATTTTGTATGACTAAACATTGGGTCTTGCATTCCCGATGACTTGAAATAGTATTTGTTCGTTACAAGTGAAGAACAACTGTACAAAAAACTCGAGTATGATAAACTATAAGCTACTGAAATTTGTTTTTTTCATCTTAATTGATTAAGCTTACATTTCCAACAAAGTAAGCGAATCGATAAAACATGTTTTGAAACGTTTTGTGAACATTATTGCTTCACCTATTATTCTGTTTAAGCCATACGAATTTTACACAAAGCAAAATGTGAATTCAAAATAAAAAGCACTAATTATGCTTCCGATGAATTGCATGAAAAGACTCATCCCTTCTCCTTTTGCTCTCGATTCTTAACATCCCAGTAGGGAGTCTTACGAAAAAATTGTTGAGTCAATCCTAAATTTAAAATGTTTCACTGCCTATATATTAGTGTCAGGAATGTGGTGACTACGGAGTGCAGGGGGAAGGGGGGGGGGGGGGTGCGCACCCCCACTTTTGGAAAATCTTCGCTTTTTCCCAGCAAAAATTGTTAATTTTATTGAAAAAAAGATCGTGAGATGAAACAGTAAGGGAAAATAAGGATCCGCATCCCTTCCCACTTGTTAAAATTTCGTAAATGCATTATTTTATATTCAAAAATTTTTTTAATACACCCTCAACTTTTCAAAAAATTTCTCTTGCACTCCCTCCCCACTTTTTTCTCTTCACTACATCTCTGATTAGTGTAAATATTTGACTAAAGAAAAAAACTAATTATGACTACTCATGTATGTTCTAGGTTTTTTTTTTTGTCCGAGACAATATATATATACATTATAGACATCTATGATTCATAGATGTCATTATTTCAATATGATAAATATTGTAAATAAAATAAAAAAATTCATTTAAAAAAATGATTCTTAAATTAATTAATTAAAAAAAAGTATATTTTTCTAATAAATAATTCATTTTCATTTTCTATAATAAAGAGGAAAAAAATTCTTTTGAAAAGAATTTATCATTGGTTAATAGACGATATCAAAGTTAATCGATCGAACAAATGGATTCAAGAATAGAATAAAGAAACAAATAAATAAACAGAAAGACAAAAACGTACTTTTGTATAGCAATAATTCTTATTTGATTTGTTATTATTATTATTATTATTATTCTTGATACATCTGAATCAATTATTATGAAATAACGTTTTTTAATTCTTCTATAAAAAATAAATCAATTACGCAATATTTTTCATTTTTTAGATGATCAATCTTAAGCAATACAAAAATCATTAATATACATATATATTTTACTTATGACCATCAATTAAATTCATTACAAATCTTCTTTTTCTCTCTCCTCTCTCCTTTCCTCTTTTTTAATTAAACAATGACTGTAAGTTAAATTTCTTTTCTAATCGAATAAAAAAAATTATTTTTTGTTTTTTTTTATTTTTCTTTCAAGGAGTTTGTCTTTGGTGATTTTTCTGAACAAGAAGCAGAAAACTTGTTTGGTCATGATAAACAAGGAGTTAAAGTAAATAAATATAAACTATAAATTATTTAAATCATCATTATATTTTATTAAGTTTCCATGGGGTACAGATGATTGTGTGAATACTGCAATTGAATTTGGTTTTGATGTACCATCAGTAATATCACCATCGGGTGGTACTGGTGTATCTTATTCATGTAATGGTAGTTTATCTCATCAAGAATCAACAAGTTCAGCATTAACATCTCCTCCTTATTCATCAAAAAGTTCATCTGTTGAAAATGTTAAAGTAACAAAATCATCATCATCACATAATCGTCGTCATAGTGATAGAAAATTAAAAAAAAAACGTCCACCAAATTATTATAAACAAGAATATCAACAAATGCTTGAACCATCAACACTTCAACATCATAATCAAAATGATACTAATGAACAGACTATACAACAAATCGAACAAAATATAATTGATCCACGATATATATCATGTGATCAATGGGTTGATTCAACAATTATACATCAAAATGATGATAAACAATCAACTAATGATGAAGATGAAACTCAATCAGATAGTAAATATGAGTTTTAAAAAAAAATCACTCATGTTTTTTTTTTTTCGTTTTCTTCTTAGGTCCTGCAACAACAACCGATACAGATAATGATGTTGATCATCCACAACATATATCAATTAATAAAACATTATTAAATAATAATGATTTATCTATTTATTCAACATCAGTTGCAAGTGGAGCTTCAATTGAAACTATAAAACCATCATCAGATAATCTGTCATCAGCAAATAAATCGAAACCATCATCATGGGCAGATTTATTTCGTAGTAATCAAACAGCAGCAGCAGCAGCAACAACAACGACAACAAATATTCCACCGCCACCACAACAACAACAACCGCAGCAATCAAGTCCAATTCAAAAAATTCCAACAACATCATCACAAAATGGAAAAAATAATACAACGAATACTTTTTATCCAAAAACAAATTATCATGTTTATAATAGCAATGGTGAAGAATCACGATCATTAGAAGGTTATTTTTTTTTTTGAAATATTTTAATTAAATCTTAGAATTTTCTTTTGTTAAATAGATTATTTTTCCAAATGTGAAGTACGTCCATCAGCTATGGCTATTAAACCTCGTGGATTATTAAATAGAAGTAATTATTGTTATGTGAATGCGGTACGTATATCCAAAAAAAGAAAAGAAGTTATGAAGAATAGAATATTTTTCACAAATATCTTCTCGATAAAAATTTCCTATACCCCCCCCCCCCCCCCCCCAAGTGAATGATGTACGAATGGTTCTAGTCGAAAGATTCCGATAAATGAAAACACGAATACAATATGGCCGGATATTCTTGTTTCCGCTGAAAAATGGCCATAATCGAGCAGAATCAACTCTCAGACACAATTATCATAATATTATTTTCAAATATTTATCATTTTCTGGAGTCTTCCGGTTAGAAAATCATGGAGCCAGATACCGAAATCATTGATTGGAGCACTTCGTTTCCTTGTATGATATTGAGAAAAGTGAGAATTCGAATGATGATTATATATTTTCCCTAGTATTTTTGATTAATTAAACATAGATACTAATTCGCTTTTCCCTATTGAAAAATAATCAGTTTTATGCGAATTCACATAGTCTTGTCTGTAGAGTTTGTTATAAATTTTATGATCATAGAATATTATTAGTCATTGCTACTGTTGATTATTTTCAACATCCATAGAATTTTAGCGATTTTGATTAACTGGAATCTTCGAGGTTTAAATTTTCTGAACTTAAATCCATGTTTACATTTTGCATAGAACCTATTGACTCTGAGTTTGAAATGAATTCAATAGAATCTATTCTAACATTGTGCATTACGTAGACTCATATGAGTATTCTAAAAAGATTTTATGTCCTTATCTTATTGCCGAGGATAGTATTGCACTCTTACAGTATTTTTTAAAATGAATGCCGTGATAATGGAAAAACTGATTTTTGAATTTCGACTTGAACTATTGCATAGAGACCGACTTTAACGAGAGTAGTTTATTGTGAATGTTTCAGATCTTGTCATTGTTCATATCGTAAGCCTATAATTATGGTAATGGCATGTCTCTTACATCGCTCCAACAGATTTCAATATTCTTATTTCAGTATAGAAAACGCCCTGAAACTATTCTCGTTAAGGTCTATCTCTATGCAAAGATTGAAGTCGAAATTCGAAAATTAGTTTTTCTGTTACCACGATATTCATTTTAAAAAAATACTGTAAAAGTGCGACATCTTCGTAGCGTTAAGCTAAGGTCATGAACTCTTTTCATGATATTCATAACTCATTTGAGTCTACATACTGTACGTAATCTCTCGGATCAAAAATAATTTATCAAATTATACATAGTCATAAGTTTGGTCATATTTCAAACTGTTATTATCGGCTTAATTTAAATTTTTAATGTAGTATTAATATGATTTGTTTTTTCTTTTAGACTCTTCAAGCACTTCTTGCGTGTCCTGCTTTTTTTAATGTAATGAAATATATTCCACTCAATGAAGATACATCTAATCATGAAGTCTCATGTATAAGAGCTCTGTAAGTTAATGAAATATATTGATAACAAAAACAAAATAAAATAAAATGTTTTTTTTTTAAATTAGTCATTCATTTGTTAATCAATTTGAAAAAATGGATCGAAGTAAATCAAATTCTAGTTATAAAGATATAATATGTGGTTCATCATTTGAACCAATTGATGTTCTTCAAGAATTATCTCGTCTTCGTCATTTACCTGTTGAAGTAATTAAAAGTAAACAAGAAGATGCACATGAATTATTATGTCAATTATTAAGTGAAATTCATGATGAAATTTGTCAAGTTTTATATAATTCACCAACAAATAAAAATGGTAAATAATAAAAAATAAAAAAAAAAGAACAAATTTTCAAAATCTAATTTTAGAAGAATCTACAGCAGACTCAGATATATCAACATTAACAGCTGATTTACAATTAAAAAATGATGAAAAATCTGAAGATTGGCTTCAAGTCGGAAAACGTAATCGTACACATGTTCTTCGAACGGTATTTTCAAAAAAAGAAAAAAAATATATATTTTTTAATTATTTTTATTTTTTTACTTTATTTTAGAATGAAATTCGAAAAAGTCTTATTGCTGATATATTTGCTGGCAAATTTCGTTCAATAATACATAGTTCTGGAAACCAAAAATCCGTCGTGCATGAACCATTTTTTACACTTTCATTAGACATTAAAGTATGTCATATCATTTTTAAAAAGAACGAAAAATACATAAAGACTATTTGACATATAGAATATCGAATATTTGATTACAAGAGTAGATCTTTATGTATTGTTCGATTTTCGAGAAAATAGGAAAAATGTCTAAAACTCACATTTGAGCAAAGTATCTTGTCCTTGACATAAAAATGAAAAGACTTTAATGAGTAAATCAAATTTCATGTTACTAATGACCTTAATTTCTGATATGTGAATGTATACAGTTAAAATGTGTCAACTAAATAACACTTTCTATTAATTAATATTATTAATAACCTTCCATAAGAGAAAATATTTTTCACATGAATATTCGAATTGAATTCAATGCGAATAAATTACATGCTCAGTATAAAACTTAGTTTTCAATAATTCTTATGTTTATTCGGTAAATTAATAATTTGTTTAATGTTAAAATTAAAGTATTACTAACTAATTCAGTTTGCTCTTGTAAAAATTCATTTATTCATTAAATGAATAGTACTTATATCACTAATTACTTTTTTTTATTTTTTGGATGAAAACATTTTAGTGTAAATAGAAGAATAATTCTTCACATTGACCAATTATGATATCTTTAGGGTATGGGCGCATCAATGTACTCTTTTTCCACATCGTAAAAATTGGTCAAGAAAGAAGACCTCATGATAGAAATGATTAATTTAGTTGAAAACTCTGGATCTCGATTCCGACTACAAGAAATATTTTTTTCAGGAACCGATGCCAGACACCTGTCAGTAAAACAGTGACGCTTTCTACTTTTTTACATAATAACGATCTTAGTCTTTATACATTCTAAATCGCCTCTTATAAATAAATGATTTTTTGAAGTTGCAGAAGTAAGAATTTCTGCTATTGGAGTTAGGTTTCGGTATCAAAAATTTTGACTCCGACAGATCTTGACGTATGAGTTTTCATCGAATGCATTTATAAAATTTCTAATTATGAATTATTTATTTTAGGATCCAAAAATAACTACACTTGATGAAGCTCTAATACGTTTCTGTGAACAATCAACACTTTCCGATTATGTTGATAGTAAAAATCGTCAAAATGTAAGTCAAAATTATATTTAAATAATCAAAAAAAAGAACAAAAAATTTATGCTTAACAAATAATTTGTTTTAGGTTCATACAAATAAAACAATGCTAATCGAACAATTACCACCTATACTTATCATACATTTAAAATGTTTTCTATATGATGAAGCAGATGGAATAAAAAAAATTAATAAATCTATTAGTTATACCGTTAATTTAACATTACCAAAAAGTAAAAATAAATTGATTTGTTTTTTGTTTTTCTGTAATAAAATATATTTGTGTTTTCTTTTTAGGTATTTTAACAGAACAAGCTCGAAAACAATATCATGAACGATATAAATTATTTGCTGTTGAATATCATCAAGGTGATCATGCTACAAAAGGACATTATATAACTGATGTATTTCATCCAGGTCTTCAAGGATGGTTAAGATTTGATGATGGTAATGTTCATGTTGTTACATCACATCAAGTTATTAATTCAACAGCTGATAAACTTACGCCTTATTTACTGTTTTATCGTCGTGATTAGAAATTTGTTTGTTGAACAAAAAAAATACAAAAATAAAAACCAAAAAAAAGCACTTTTTTCTTTTGTTGTTTTATGTACGCGCAATAGCTCTCTTTCGCTCTGTCTCTTTCTTTTTCTTCTCATCCGAGTGTATTCTCTTGTCTGCTCAATCCAGCTGTTTGTTGTTTTTTTTTTCTATAACCGGTGTACAACCATGAGCAAAAATTCTTGTTCTTCTTTGTTTTCTTTCTTTTTTTTGTCTTGTTGATTGTGGTGATGGTGTTTGTTTTTATTCACTTGTGTCATACACAATACATCCGGTTACTAACTTTTTATTAGTAACATATGTTGTTTTGTGATGACAATTGATTGTTTTTCTTTTTTTTTTTGTTTTTCATAGAAAACCTTCCACGTTCCCATTTTTGCGATTTGTTTGTCTGTTTGGTTTTCGTTATATATGTATGTTGGCTTCTTTCTTTTTCCTTACGTACAAAGCACATTATCTTACTCTTTGTTTTTTCTTTTTCTTTTTCTTCTTCTTCTTCTTCTTCTTCTTCATTATGCGTATGTACATCGTAACTTTTTTTTTTTGGATGATGAGCGATCATCAGAATAAAGACAAGATGGTTTGTGGCAAAACGGAAACAAAAAAAGAGTAAGATTGATTTTCGTTATATGAATTAACTAATTGATAATTTGTATATCGATCTATAAATAAAATATGCTCAAAAAAGAAAATAAATTTTCAGTGCAGAAAATGTAATTCACTTCTTTGATTGTAGAAGAATAAAAAATGTATCGAAAAAAGAAAACTACTAAAGTATTTACTACAACTGATATCATAATAAATGAAATAAATGATGATAAACTTCTATATGATCTTAATTCTGAACAAAAATGTGCTGTTACTTGCTCAACAGATCAATCAACACTTGTTCTTAGTGGAGCTGGTTTGTTTAACTTGTTTTTTTTTTGTTTTTTGATCTTTTAATTTATCATTAAAGGTAGTGGAAAAACTCGCGTATTAACATCTCGTATTGCTTATTTATTAAAAAATTGTAATGTTAAATCGTATCAAATATTTGCTGTTACATTTACAAATAAAGCTGCACTTGAAATACGTCGTCGTATAAGTCAAATGTTACCTGGTATACAATTAAATGATATGTGGCTTGGAACATTTCATGGACTTGGTGAATTTTTGTTTTGATATTAATTACAAAAAAAAAAAAAACAACAAAACATCTATTGGTATTTTTTGTTTTCTTTTTAGCGAATCGTTTTTTACGTATACATTGTAAAATGGTTAATCTTCATAATGATTTTGTAATTATTGATCCTGATGATCAATTATCAATTGTTAAAAAAATTCTTAAAGATGAAATAAATGAAAATAATTTTTATACAGATAAACCAAAAGCTATTGTTAATTATATAAATAAATGTAAAGAAGAAGGTAAACGTTCATCAAATATAATTCTTAATAAAGAAAATAATTTTAAACAATTAATTTATACAAAATATGAAAAATATCTTCATGAAGAAAATAAAGTTGATTTTGCTGAATTAAT